ATCTCTATTAAAAATACAAAAATTAGCCAGGTGTGGAGGTGGGCACCTGTAATCCCAGCTACTCAGGAGGCTGAGGCAAGAGAATTGCTTAAACCTGAGAGGCAGGCAAAGGTTGCAGTGAGCCGAGATAGCACCACTGCACTCCAGCCTGGCAACAAAGCGAGACCCCCACCCCGTCCAAAAAAAAAAAAAGCATGTTTCTGATACCATATTTCTACTTAAAAGCTCTGACAGGCCAGGTATGGTGACTCACACCTGTAATCCCAGTACTTTGGGAGGCTGAGACGGGTGAATCACTTGAAGTTGGGAGTTCAAGACCAGCCTGGCCAATGAGGTGAAACCCTGTCTTTACTAAAAACACAAAAATTAGCCAGGTGTGGTGATGGGTGCCTGTAATCCCAGCTACTTGGGAGGCTAAGGCAGGAGAATCGCTTAAACCCAGGAGGCAGAGGTTGCAATGAGCCGAGATTGCACCACTGTACTTCAGCCTGGGTGACAAGAGTGAGACTCCATCTCAAAGAAAAAAAAAACGGCTCTGACAAAGAAAGGAGAATGGCCTAGAATGTCAGGTATGGTGCTGACTTACCTGTTTAATTTCATTAACTACTAAATTTCAGCCAAAGTGGCTTTCTTTTTATATATTTTTATTTTTCCCAAGTACACTCACAAACTGCAATTCCCTCTATGTGGAAAAGTCTTCCTTACCTTCTTTGCCTAGTTAACTTTTATTTTTCCCTAAAATTTCAGTTTACACATCATTGCTTCAAGGAAGCCTTCTTTTATTTACTTGCTTACCATCACAAGCCTCTTTTTCTCATTTGTTGCAATAGTTTTACAAATTGTGAAATTAATCGGCTGAGTTCCCAGCAAAATAAGCTCACTAAAGTCAGGGTATGTGTATATGGGGGTCTTTTTTGCATATCATTGTATCCCTACACTCAGCACAGCACATGGCTCATACAGGAAAGGGTTAATAAATACTTGATTAATATCTATTATCCCTTCACATTCAGAGTGCCAGATTCAAACGCTGTTTCCTCTCAATGTTTTATTATTCAGGCCACCACTAGCACCATACTTTGAAAAAATATTTTTATAAGATAAAAGATTTTATTAAGTACCATTTGGTAAAAAAAGACTGAGAAATTTAGTACCTAGGTCCATCATCATAAACATGAGTATTTTTACTGTTTTCCATGAAGAGATTATAATGATCATAGGAGGTAATTCACCATAAGGATTACAAAACATACAGGTTGTTTTATTATCAAATGGTGCTTACTATTTAAAAGATACTTTACATAGACAACTAGTTCCACCAAAGTGAGTAGGTATAAAATAGGGCAAAAATATGGAACTTAATCATTTATTCTTCAAAGTGCTTATTATGTGAATAGCAGCAATCTGCTTTTACATTATCTTTTCCCTTTTATCACCATGAGAAATTTCTCCTCATTATCATTTTGTGTAATTTCACTTGTTCTTGTATAAATACTGTTTGGTTTGTAATAAAAATTGCTCAGTGGCAACTATTACAGAAAAGCCAAAGTTTTTATTCTTGATAAACTTAATTTACTTATTTTAGTTTTAACAAAATTATTACGGGTGAGAATGCTTCCTTTTGTCGTAAGTATTAACAACTTGTATATACACTAATTACAACTTCAAAATATTTACACAAATATTCTACTTTTTCATATTAGCATCTAACTTAATTATCTTAGTAACAACATTAGTATAGCATGGACTACTATAAACCAAGTATCTTCAAAGTAAAAGCCTGTAAATATCTTGCTGAAAATAGAAAAGTTGAAACCAGGGTACTGCCAATATAAAATGTAAAGTAGGGAAACATTTTACCACTGCCATCTTAATCTTCTCTACATTCTTTCTCTAACGTAACCTCCAAACTGCAACCTCAGCATATCAAAATAATTTTCAAGGAGAAAACTAATCCTAAATTTCATGTTTAATAACATATGCTTTGTATAGGAAACATTCTCTTAACCATTTCTTTCTGTATCACTGTAACCATAAAGACATGGTTGGGTCTAAAATTTTCACCAGTTTGTTGTAAATAAAATATATTTATTCACAAGTAAAACTTACTTCACAATGTATTTTTTTTTTTTTTAAGAGATGAGGTCTTATTGTGTTGCCCAGGCTGGAGTGCCATGGTTATTCACAGGCACGATCCCACAACAAATCAGCATGGGAGTTTTGATGTATTATGTTTTGCAGTGCAAAAATGTAAGAATGTCTAGCCTTTCTGATGTCAAAGTTATAATTTAGGGATTTACTTGAAGAGTATCAACAGATTCTTAAACATACAAAATTCTGCTAGGAAATTAGTTGAACCTTGAACACCACAAATTTGAATACTGTGGGTCAACTTACAGGCAATTAAAAAAATTTTTTTTTCTTTTTTGAGACAGGGTCTCACTCTGTGGCCCAGGATGGCATGCAGTGGTGTGATCATGGCTCACTGCAGAGCCTCAACCTCCCAGGCTCAAGCAATCCTCTTGCCTCAGCCTCCTAAGTAACTGGGACCACAGGCAAGTGCCACCATGCCCAGCTGATTTTTCTTTTGTAGAGATGGGATCTCACTATGTTGACCAGGCTGGTTTTGAACTCCTGGCCTCAAAACAATCCTTCCATCTCAGCCCCCTGAAGTGCTGGGATTATAGGCGTGAGACACTGTACCCAGACATATATACAATTTTTTTTTTTTGAAACAAACTAGAATTGAAATAACAGTAGTGTCAGGATGTAAAACCCATATAAATCATGGGCCTACTTTTTGTATACTTGGATTCTGCAGTGAAGACTGTGGGACTTGAGTATGTGTGGAATTTGGTATGCGGTGGTTCCGGTACCAATCTCCTTTGTATACAGAGGAACGACTGTATACAAATGAAGAATGGAGCACTTCTAATTTAGAGATTTTTAAAAATTAAATTATGATGATGATGATTTATTTGAGGCAGGGTCTCGCTATCTCACCCATGATGGTCTCCAACTCCTGGTTCAAGCAATCCTCCTGTCTTGGCCTCCCAAAGTCCTGGGATTATAGACCTGAGCCACCATGCCTGGCTGTAATTCAGTTTATAAAGGGAAATTTTAAAGTAGTATAAGGCTCAAAGCTTCAATTAAAGAAACCATTTATGAAGGAGAATAATAAAAAAATATTACTCTGCATACATATGACAGTGCAGAGAATTGTTGGGAGTGAGTTTTAGCTCTGTTAAGACTTGTTTCAGAATATGATACCACAGTCTGAAAGAACTGTATTAAAATAAGATACTATTTTAAAAACAAAAGTGCTGGGCATGGTGGCTCACGCCTGTAATCCCAGCAATTTGGGAGGCCAAGGGGGGTGGATCACCTTAGGTCAGGAGTTCAAGACCAACCTGGCCAACAGGGTGAAAACCCGTCTCCACTTAAAATGAAAAAAATCAGCTGGGCATGATGGCGGGTGCCTGTAATCCTAGCTACTAGGGAGGCTGAGACACAAGAATCGCTTGAACCCAGGAAGCAGAGGTTGCAGTGAGATTGCGCCAGTGTACTCCCTCCAGCCTGAGCGACAGAGCAAAACTCCATCTT